GGAAGATTCATTCTCATTTTGCACATTTGGAGAGTGGTGGAGCGAGGCCCCAGGCTACCGTAGTATTGCCCTCGCTCCACCACTCTCCAAATGTGCAAAATGAGAATGAATCTTCCGCTAGAACATGGAAAGATACACCGCCATATTTTTTGTCTTTTGTGCACGAGTAGTGGAGCGAGGCCCTTGCATCACACCGGACTACAGCTGGACTTGAAGCTTACTGGCAGCCCTCATGTGACAGAGGCACTACAACGGAAGTGTGTAGTTGAGAGAGGCCATACGGATTCTCGCGGCAGGTAAGTTGTAATACGGCCTCACTCGACTACTCTCCAATTTGTGCAAAATTAGAATGAATCTTTCACTAGAACATGGAAAGATACATCGCCATATTTTTTGTTGTTTGTTAATGTGTATAGCTACTGCCTGTTTTCACGTTGTTGGTTTTCAACTTGTCACGAACGTTCTCTTTTGCTTTTTTTTTTTTTTAGTGAAAGCACCAATTAAACACAACGGTCAGCTCTGTTGCAACGGTTCCACAGACGCGTCCTCATCATGACCGTATTGGACCTCTGAAAGGGCTCAGATACACTGAAGATAACATGGAGTTTTGTACAGCAAACATGACAACACACACAGGTTTTAGGGCCACGGGGCCCTGAAAAAAATTTGCGTGGGCAATGTCTTAATTTTGGCTAAACGTGGGCACTTCGATTCACCCCCTCCCCAACTTTTTTTTTTTTGGCTGACCCCGAATTTTGCCCATGCGGCGCACCGGGTGCGCACGCCACGTGCACAATGCGCAGTGCGCCGCATGTGCACAAGTGGCGCGCACGGGATGCGCCGCAAGTATGGTTTGGACCCGCCGATGGTCTAACTGGGAGCTTCTATTATATCGCAGATTCTTAAGTGGAGGGGAAGGACAATCCTTACCTTAAATCTCGAATTCTTTCAAGTTTGCCTGGAATCAGTCCTGTGAGATCGTTGTTGAAAAGGTATCTGCACCAAGAAAACCACAAGCCAATACAATTTACAAATTAGATTTTTCTGGAAATGCATGCATGCCTTGCCGTAACTAAAATGATGGAAAGAGAAGAAGAAAAAGAAAGAGCATAAAAGAGAGACAAAAACAAGGCGCATGAAGGGGCACAGTGATTCCGAAGAATGTATGGGGCTCAGAAGGAATAGGATGAACTATGACAAAGCTGGACACAGAGGATGGGCCAAGGTTCGGAAACATGGGTTTCTGCCATGGTTTTCTAGTTTGGGTGCAACTTGCAGTCGGAGTATGGATTGCTTTGGAAACGGAATTCCCTTCCTGCTAACACTGAGGCTCATCACACACTCACCATTGTTGAGAATTCAACAGCGCAAGGAACTCCATTTGAGTTGACAGTCCTCAACAATAGCATAGGCTACCTAAGGGGATTTGACAGTGGCACACAGCCTTTTCATGTCGTGGCTTGGGACGTCAGTCCACGAAATCAGGTTTGTCGAGGTGTCGGCAGGGATCCCCTCCAAAATGTCACCGTGACAGGTAGGCAAAAAAGAATTCTGTTAGAGAGTCGACAACTGATGGAACCGCTAACCTCAAGTCTAGAAAGTACCAGTCCGGTCCAGCAAGTACCACGGGGGGAACTGTGTGCACCATGGGCCAGGGACACAGGGCAGAACAATGTAAAAGGGCCTTTACCCGATATAGGCCTCAGGCCTTGTAAAAATAAAGCAGCACGGGCCTTGAAAAAGTAAGGCATTGTGAAAAGGTATCTCGTCAGAGCTCAGAAACGTGAAAACAGGTCAAAGGTCAAGTTCTCTATCAACAGGCATATTTAAAACTAAGGCAAAGGGCATTGTCAAAAGACTTACCTGTTCACCAGGAGATGTGTATGTCATGTCTGTTTGGGTAAGGGTGTGTCTGTACGTGCAGGCAGTGTGTCTGTTCGTGCCAAGTAAAGT